TTTCAATCAATAATATCATAAAACAACGATTAAAGATGATCGCAAGAATAAAATCACAAAATAATTATTAAGTTATGATTTTTATAATAATATTTTTTTAATGATTTTTATAATGTTTTTTTTTTAATAACTATTTTTTGATTTTAATTTTGCGATCATCTTTAATCGTTGTTTTATGATATTTATTTTTTCAATCGTCTTGAATCGTTATTCCGTGATTTAAATTTTTTTCGATCAGAAATATTCGTTTTTTTTACTTTTTTTCGATAATTTTTAGCCATTAAAATAGACACTACGTTTTAAGTCGTTTATAATCTAAAACTGAAAAATAAAACAACGATTAAAAATTGTCGGATTATTTTTAATTGGAAAAAATCATAAAATAACGATTAAAAATGATTGTGAAATATTCTGCAATGATTTTAAAATAAAAATCCTCTATAATAACGATTATTTTCGCTCCCTGATATATGTTTTTATTCCATTTATTTTTTTATTTAAATGTTTCGAAAATATTTTGAAATTTCCAAATTTATGGGAAAACTTTTTTTTCATTAACTTCCCTCGGTTAAATTTAATTTAATTTTTCATCAAAAATTTTTTATTATTATTTTAATTTCGCTTTTTGCAAGGAAATAAATTTTTAACCGACTTAAAAAAATATTTTTTTTTTATGTTTGCATAATTTTGAACCACGTTAACCGATTTCTAAAGAAAAGGCGGTACCTTAGAGGTGGTTCCATACTAATTTGGCTTAGATCCGATCATTAGGTCATGACGAAATTTACGGTATTCTTAAATTCTTATATGAGAATTGAAGTCTGTTTGCTCAAAAAATTATTTGTTAGTTTATATTTATTACAAATTGATTTAAATTCACAAACTTTTAAAAAAAAATTAATTCAATTCAGTTTTTAATAAAAGAATTTTCGTAAAATGTTTAAATAAAATTATTGACTTTCTTTTTTTAAAAATTATAATTTTAAATATGTAATTACTTTTTAATGAATATTTTAGTATTTTTTTAAATAAATTTTGGTCTAACAAGAGGAAAAAGCTCACAGAAAGCGCTCCTGGGAGAAATATATCAGGTCTATAGCCACTCCAAATGCGATTATAGGAACGCATGATCAAATGTGTTTGATGAATGTGATAGCCTGAGAATAATCCCGGTAACTTTTACATAATAGCACAGGTTGCATTACCACCTGACTAAATTTGAATTTACTCGCCGATCGAGCGAAGCCGATTCTGCTGGATCGATAACGGGGCTTATTCGGGATGGTACACAGAAAAAAAAGCTTAGGGGACCTTTAAATAACCGAGAGCGCCGTGAAATCCGGAGATTTCCCAATTGCAATAAATATGTACTTATGTACATTTTTTTTTTAAATAAAACATGCTACAGACTGACGTACGTACTCGCTTTTAGCATACAATTTTTCGAAAACAAAATCAACCTACAAACATACATATGTATGTACACATATAGTACACATGCATACCTCTAATCCTTGTAATTCTAATAAAATTGCACGCTAAGCAAAGAGTGCAAGACATAAAACTCACCAACCATATAAATTGGGAAAAAGTGGTAAAATTGTTAGCAAAAGTTAATGACAATAAAGCTTATTTCATGAATGCATGCTGAGCAATAAAAAGGGATTAGCAAACAAAGACGCGAAGCAACAGAAGAGGATGCGATATATGGACCAACACAAAAACGCAAAAGAGGTCGTAATTTCGTATTTATTTTTAAATAATAAAAATATGTGTGTAAGTATTTACTCATATGCCTCTAGAGAGAGAGAGTAGGAAGCAAGCACAGCAAGGTTTTTACTACCTATGTATGTATGTATGTATACACTAGGGGACAAATGAAAGTTTACACCTTGTTCTAATATAATATTCACAATTATTTAAATCAAAAATTGTTTGCTTTATTTATTTATGAAAATATAGTTCATTCTATAATATAAACCATATAATTCAAAGTTTTACACTTTATATAAAGCTCACAAAAGTTTTGTAGCCCATTTAATTTTAGTCTAACTAAGGGAGTGAAAGTTTCAACAAAATTGCGATAATTTTTGATTTTTTTTTTTTTTGAGAATTAGGTTTTTTTTAATATAAAAAGTGCAATTTACAAAAACTGGCATTGATTTTTTAAAAGTTTATTGCTAACGATCTCCCGCATTTTATTTCATAAGAAATTTATGCTTATATGGAAAAAAATGCAACAATCCGGTTTAGACTCAAACTGAATGGGCCACAAAACTGAAGACTCGAAAATTTTCCAAAAATTCTGAAAAAGTTGAAATTTTGGATGATTTTTTTTTTTTTTATTTTTGTGAACTATATTTTCATAATGCCAAAAATTTTTCATAAAATTATAACGCAAAAAATTTTTCATGAAAATAATTTTGAATATTGTATTAGAACAAGGTGTACACTTTCACTTGTCGCCTAATGTATGTAGATTAATCTTTTCATAAAAAAAAAGAAATTTCTGTAGAAATACCTGCAAAACCCTGCTTTAGAGCTGATAGTAGACTTCATGAACCGCTTAGCTGATATTTTATGTGTGTTGTTAATATTTTTCTGCTTAACTATTTCTCTTTTTTTTACAGCCAAAAATAGTAAGAGGATAATAGAATATAATAAAATAGAAGCGTAAAATCTTTATGGTGTTTTGCATTCTAATATTTTGAATATTTTGCGCATCCGTTTTGGGTTCATCTAAGCGTTGAAAAGTGCTCAAGCACACACTTTTACATATACAGACAAACAGGTATCCATTTTATGAGTCGTTTCGCTTATATATGGTCTGCTTCGATAAGGAGTAGCTCTGCCAATTCATATGTAGTGCTGGCAGCCGCTTAGTTAGCTTTGAAAGAAGCACTCGTGAATAGCCAACGTCCTGGAATAAATTCACTGCATGCCGCAGTACTTGCAAATTGAATGAAATAGAAAAGTTGAGCAGAGGAAAGGTTTTTTTTTTGGTTTTGTTAAATATGCAAAACTCAATGAATTTTTGGTGCACAATACAGCTGTATTTACAAAAACTAGCATCCCCTGAGACCCAAAAGCTCGTAACTAATAAATTTTGTTTTGCGTAAAAGGAGAGTTGTAATTTGAATAAATGCGTCAAAATTATTCAAGAAGTAAGATTGGGATTTTTTGCTAATTACGACCATTGGCACTTCAGTGACGTGATGTTAGTTAGGTATTTTTGCACAGCGCACAGTGCTGCCAGACTGGACTTTACTGTTCATATTTCCAGCGATTTGATTGACTTCTTTTTTAGTCGAAAGCTGTTTGGATTTACAAAAGATTTGTTGAGCACGATTTTTGAATCTTTATAATTTTTTTTTTGTTTTTGCAGAGAAAGTAGAAATTTTGAAGAAAATCGATTATTTATTCACTGTTAATGAATGTTACATATAAAGGCTAGTTGAAAGCCATCATAAGGTTACCTCAATACGAAAAAAATGCACAAGAAAAAATTTAAATATTACGCAAAAATTTCAGCAGATTTTTTTTTTGTAATTTTTAGAAAAATTTTAGGTTTGTAGTTTTAAGCCCATTAGATTTTAGTGCAATAGAGTTGAACCCTCAAGTGGCTAAGAGTTCACTTCGATTTTCCACTTACAAAAAAAAAATTATCAAAAATCAATGCGACTTTTTATCCACATGAATTTTGCACTAAAATTTAATAACAAAAAATATATGTACATACCTAAATATATAAACAAAAATTAAATTTTGGTGAATTTTCTTAACTTTTTTGTGCAATTTTTTTTTGTTTTGGCGGAACCCTATAATTGGTTTCAACTAGTTTTTTACATAACATTAATAAATAGGAGCAGAAAAATCGATTTCTGCAAAATTACTACTTTCTCTGCACTCTGTAAGAAAAAAATTCAATAGAAGAAAATAAAAACTTAAAATTCAACAAGTCTCTTTTAAATATCACCATTTTGATTTAAGAGATAATAAATTAAATCGGTTAAAAAATGAAGGCTCTGTAATATTTTTAATTCTAAATTCCAATTTTGCACCACTGGGTGCTACGTTGTTATTTCCTTGTGAGGAAAATCAACTAGTTTAAGAGCAATTTAAGCAAGTAGTTTCAATTCTCCCATCTTTCTTGCAAGCAACTGACTTTATTAACTTGGCGATATCCTAGCAAATCAATCGTCCGACTCTTCATATAATTTGAACTACATACTTTCAAATGCATTTGACTTAGAGAACTTCAAAATATGATACGAATGAATAAAATGAAAAATTGATGAAACGGACATTCGTCTGCTGCATCTGTTTCAAAATAATTTATTTCCAACTACTTTTTTGATTAATTTTTGAGACCGTCTACTTTATTACGGCAGGATTATAAAAAGTGTGTAGGGGCATAAATATGTGAATATTTTTTTTTTGTATAAAAATGGTACCACCAACTATATATTGAGGTATGTATTTACATTTACTTATAGTAGTTCCATGCAGTACAAAATTAATATTGTTCTCATTCAGGGAAAGCAAAAGAGTTGAATATCAATTCGAGAGCAAATATATTTGTTGGCTTTTCGACTTTGTTTCACGCATTGATATGGATGCAATTGTTTCATTTTGTGGTGTAACAGAGTTTTGTGCGATTATAAATGCTCTGTTCACACTAATACATATAAAACGAGTCAAATTCAAATTTGCAGCAAACATATATTGAAGCTGGAACAAATAATGAATGCATAGCATACCATAACAGTGACGTAGTTTTAAGGTAGAAAGAAGGGGTTAGCAAAGCAAAACTCTTTAATGGATAAAAAACCTAAAAACGGGAAAAGGATTGAGGGTCGAGGGTGGAACCAAAAATTTTCAGACAGTCGGTTCTTTAATTTTATACTATGGCGACCGTGCTTTCTTTACTCGCCTATGGATGTCGAATCGATGGATCCTTTTACCGAAGCATCATTCATGAGTAATGCGTTTCACTATACCTATGACATTATAAAGCTCGTATAGTTCATCATTCAGGTCTTCTTCAGTGCCATCTTGCGTCGGATAGATCTCGTAAAAACCACTACAATTTTTGCATACCTGTTGGACGACCATGGTGAGAGATTTGTAGACAGAGTTTAAATAAGAAAGCACCTGTCGATTAGGGCTATTCTTTGCTTGATCTTTAGTAAAAAGTGCCCAAATATGCTATTTTTTTGTTTACAGGAAGTAATTTATATTATATGCAGTGACTCAAACAAGTGACCACGTGTTGATTTTTTTTTTAATTCACAATGTTTTTCAACATAATCTTTTTGTTATTTTTACAAAAATATTAACCACGCATTAAACAAAATCATATAAATAAAGGTTTCCCTCTTTATAAAAAATTTAGCATAGTTTAAAAAATTTGCATTTCAAAGTATTTGATCTGGATTTTTAGAAGATGTTTGGGTATGCAGCTTTATACCCCATACAATTTTAATATAATTAACATGATTCAATAATGAAAGGTTTTGTAAGAAAAACTTTCTCTCGC